CTATATCAGTTACATCTAACATGCATTCCAACCAAAATGAGATGTATAAAGCCAGAAATAGCACCATATGGGTTTGTAAATTATTTTGACTACGTTGAGCTTTCTTGTAGCTACTGTTTTAACCTTGTTTTTGTTTTTTAGTCAGAGTCACTGATGAGATGTTTCATTATGTATTGGGAAATGCCAGCCAATCCCACTGAGTTGTCCTTATGAGACTGGGCAGTACTTATTGATCTTTTGAGTTAGACAAGCGTTAACTCTCATTTTTACTCTTGTTGTTAGGTACTGTTGAGACATCTCCAACTCATAGTGACCCTGTGCCCAACAGAATAAAGCACTGCCTGGTCCTAAACCATTCTCAGAATCGTTAGGTTTTAAGCTCATTGTTTAAAGCCATTGTGTCATTTCATCGTTCTGGGGTCTTCCTCTTTTTCACCAAGATTCACCTTTTCCAGGGACGGCTCCATCCGATAATGTGTCCAAAGTACAAGAGATGAAATCTTGTCATCCTAGCTTTCAGGAACATTCTGGCTGTACTTCTTCTGAGATAGATTTGTTGGCTCTTCTCCAACACCATACGTAATCCAAAGGCATCAATTCTTCTCATTCTTTCTTAATCATTTTCCAGCGCTCGGAGTGACATCTTTGCTCTTTAACACTTTAAAGAGGTATTTTGAAACAGGTTTGCCCAATGCAATACTTTGTTTGATTTCTTGACTGCTGAGTCCATGAGTGTTGATTGTGGATCCAAGTAAAATGAAATCCTTGAGAACTTCAACTTCAATCTTTCTTCAGTTTCTCATGATTTTGTTTATCGGTCCAGTTGTGAGGACTTTTGATTTGTTTACATTTAGTTGTAATCCATTCTTAAGGTTCTATACATCAGCAAGTGCTAAAAGCCCTCTTCACTGTCAGCAAGCAAGTTTGTGTCATCTGCATATCACAGATTTTTAATGAGCCTTCCTCCAATTTTGACGTTTCATTTGTCCTTGTATAGTCCAGTTTCTCAGATGATTTTCTCAGCATTCAGACTAAGTAAGCATGGTGAAATAATACAACACTGACACACACCTTTCCTGATTTTAGACCACTCCGGATCCCTTTGTTTTGTTCAAACTTCTGAGAGGTCTGCACAGGTTCCACATGAGCACAGTGAAGTATTCTGGAACTGCAGTCTTTGCCATATTATCCATAGTTTGTTATGATCCACAGAGTAAAATTCCTTTGCACAGTCAATAAAACACAAGTAAACATCTTTTTGGTGTTCTCTGCTTTCCAGTCAAGATCCATTAGAAGTCAGCAATGATATCCCTCAAGCTACAGCCTCTTCTGAATTTGGCTTGGATTTCTAGAAACTCCCTGTTACATACTGCAGCAACTATTTTTTAGTTATCATCAGCAAAATTTTACTTGGTTTGTGATATTAATGGTCTTGTTCAACAATTTCACATTCTGTAGGGTCACCTCTCTTTGGAATAGAAATGAATATGGATCTCTTCTAATCAATTAGCCAGGTAGCTGTCTTCCAAATTTCTTGGCATAGACTAGTGAGGCCTTCAGCGCTGCATCAGTTTGTCAAAACTGACAGTTTCAATTGGTATTCCCTGGATCCCTAGAGTCTGGTTTTTCACTAATGCAGCTTGGACATCTTCCTTCATTGTCATTGGTTCTAGATCATATGCTGACTCCTGAAATTATTGAATAGTGACCAATTCTTTTTGGTACAGTGACTCTGTGTATTTCTTCCATCTTCTTTGGATGCTTTCTGCTTCATTTAATATTTTGCTCATAGAATCCTCCAATATTGCAACCTGAGAGTTGACTTTTTTCAGTTCTTTCAGCTTGAGAAATGCTGAGTGTGTTTTTCCCTTTTGGTTTTGTAACTCTATATGTCTTTGCACCTTTCATCATAATACTTGTCTTCGCAAGTGAATCTTTGAAATTTTCTGTTTAGCTCTTTTACTTCATTATTTCTTCCAGTCATATTAGCTATCCTAAGATCAAGAGCAAATTTGAGAGTCTCTTCTGACATCTGTTTTGGTCTTTTCTTTCTTTCCAGTCTTTTAAATGATGTTTTGTTTTCTTCATGTCATGTTCTTCCTGTACTCCTCTGGTCTTTGGTTATTCGTGTTGAATGTGTCAAATCTGTTCTTGAGATGGTCGCTAAATTCAGGTGGAACATGCTCAGGGTGGTATTTTGGTTCTCGTGAATTTGTTTTCATTTGATTCACCTTCAGCCTGAACTTAAAGTTGATGGGCTGCACCTCAATAGGTCCTGGCCTGGCTTTAACCAATGATCTGAGCATCTCCACCATCTCAATCCACGTAATATGTAGTCAGTTTGGTCCTGTGTATTCCATCTAGTGAGGTTCACATGTATATATAATGTACAGTTGCCATTTATGTTGTTGAAAAACAATATTTGCAATGAATAATTCATTGGCCTTAAAATTCTATCATGCATAATTTCTATCACCAAGGCCATGTTTTCTAACCTCCGTTCCCTCCTCTTTCTTTCCAACTTTCACATTCCAATCGTCAGTAATTATCAGTGCATCCCAACTGCGTGTTTGAACAATTTTATACTGAAGAAGTTGGTAGAATTCTTCATCATTGGCTTTGGTGGTTGGTGCATAAGTTTGAGTAATAGTTGTATTTAATCATCTTCTTTGTAGTGTTGTTGGTGGTGTTAAGTGCCGTCAGGTTAGTTCAGACTCATAGCAACCCCATTCTGTTGAGTGGCTGGTGAGTTTGAACTGTCAACCTTGCGGTTCAAACCAACCTTGAATTCCAGTGTGTGTCCTGGACTCTGCTCTTCTCCGTAGGCATATAAATATTATTTGATCACAAACAGCACTAAGTTTCAAGATAGATCTTAAAATCTTTTTGACAATGAATGTAACACAATTCCTCTTCAATTTGTCATTGCTGACAAAGTAAATCATGTAATTATCGAACTCAAGATCGCAAATAACTGTCCATTTCAGCCCACTAATGCCTAGGATATTGATCTTTCTGCATTCCATTTCTTTTTTAATGACTTCTAGTTTTCTTAGGAGTCCTGGTGTAGTTCTGTGGGCTAATGCACTGGTCACTTTGAACCACAAGGTCGGCAGTTCAAGCTCAACAGCTACTCCTCAAAAATCCTAAACAGAGTTGCTGTGAGTTGGTACTGACTCAGTGGCACTTAACAACGACAACAACAGTTTTCCTAGATTTGTACTTTGTACATCCATGTTTCAATTAGTAATGTGTGTTTGCAGCTATTTCTTCTCATTTTGAGTCATGCCCAGTCAGTAGATGAAGGTCCCCCAAACTTTGCTCCATCCACATCCAGGTCCTTTACTTTTAGGGGACAGCACTTGTACAGTCCTATTTTAGTGCCTTCAAACCTGAGGGGCTCATCTTCTGGCCCCATGTCAGACAGTATCCGCCGCTGTTCATAATGTTTTCAGGGACTAATCCCTCAGAAGTGGACCACCTGTTCCTTGTCTAGAAGCTCTACTGAAACCTGTCCACCATGGATGACCCTGCTGGCATTTGAAACACCAGTGGCAGAGCCTCCAGCATCCCAGCAACAGGCAAACCACCAAGTGTGGCAAACTGACCGAAATGTGGTTTGACTCCTTTCCACATAGCGCTGGGGCTCTCTGTGGCTCTAGAGTCACCAACAGAGTTGTTTTCAGAATGGACAGATCAGTCGATCGTGGCAGTTGGTTCTTTCACAATTGACAGATAATCCAGGAATCTTTGGGGACTATGGTTTCTTCCAAGACTAGGAGAGCAGGGGTTCAGGCTGATACCATGTAGAATACATTTTACTATCTCTGCTGGAAATACTCAAACTGGAAGATCTTCCTGACCCATATCTGCAAGCTGTTCATGGCTGGGGTCTTAATCTGGGTGTAGAAGAACTGATATTTTCAGCCACTGCCAAGTCACTCCCATGAGTCATGAACTAGAACATGGCTGTTATAGAGAACTTGGATTTAAAAAATGCTGCAAAACTGGAATCTGATAACATAAAACCATTGGCTAGATATCATGTGTGGTATTCTGGAATTGATTCTAAAATGCAAAAGTGCCTAAAGACACAAAGAATGATCAAGCTTCTTGGTACATCTGCTAAGAGCCCAGCTTTTCTCTTGCAGAGTGACTACAGATTTTAGAGTGAGTCGATATTCTCTAAGACTCTTGCAAAACCTTCTCACTTCTAGCTGCTTCTTCACAGTGTGCCTTAAAGTATTTATTTCCAGACCCCAGAGCTACACACTTCCAACATACAGATTTCTGGAAGCCATCTTTTTAGTTGTTGAGTTGAGGGACTCCGGAGGGGGTTAACTCATTTTGTGTCGTCAGGGTCAGACAAACGGTGAGGTCAGATGGATGGTGCAGACCTCTGAGTGTTCCTTGATGTATAAATTTGGAGGCTGTGAGCCCCTTACACTTGTCAGATTTTCCTCAGTGACTAACAAGTCATTGTATATGCTACAGGTGAGAACGCCTAGCATTTCCTGGACCATTTCCAAAATGTGGACGGAAAGTCATAAGGCCAAAATATTTGTTCTAGATGCAGTTCTCTAAATATTTATTTTGTGAGTCACTCCTTCCCAGGGTCCTAACCCTTGTCTGCTGTTAGCCCTATGCCTCTCTTTCTGCACACTTCTGCCTCGCTAGTCTGCTGCTTTCTTTCACACTCTGTCTGCCTCTTTCTTTCTCTGTTTCTTTCTCTCCCTTTTTCCCACTCTTACACATACCACATTTGCAAAGTTGATGGTGAATCACTCAGCACCCAGCTCTTTGTACTCGGAGAAACAAAGGACTTCATGCATTGGAAACAGAAATGCCTTGTTCCAAACACGTGACCACTCACTCCCCTTAGGTGTTTGTTGATGTGCGTGGCTCTGTGTGTGGCTAATCTTGACTTGGCGTTTGATAGAACATGAGGCAGAATTTCCATTCAATGACAGCATGTGTGTCTGTTTGCTCTTTCTTCTCAGATGAAATCATGCACCAGGACATAGTTCCGCTCTGTGCTGCTGACATTAAAGACCAGCTGAAGAAGCGCTTTGCATACCTGTCTGGTGAGTTCTGGAAGCCAGTGCTTGTGGGGTCGGGGTGGGCTGAGGAAAAGAGCGTGTGTGGGGCTCAAGCTTTGCTGTTGTTCCCCCCAGTTCTAGGCTGATGTCGTCATGGTGTGGCCTTTAGTAGTCAGTTCATTTCACATGGTTGGAACTTGGGGAAAGACAGATGATGGGACATTTAATGTACTGTTGATGTAACTTTAGGGAGGCCACGTAGCTGACTTTAGTGATCCTCTGTGAAGCAGGGAAGCCTAGTACTAGTTGGCAAGAGCATGAGAAGCGTTTTACCTCGGGATTGGTGGCCACTAGGATGAAACATGGCGGTGGGTAAGCCAATGTTTTGAAACAGATACAACCCTGGCAGCTCCTATTCATGGGCTCTGAAGTCTGGCGCTTCCCTGATGACAGATAAAAGTAGACAGAACTGGCTGACCAGAGTGAAATCAGCTTCTTGCCATGTGCAGGAAAAGACCCAGTTTCTGCCTGCACCACCTGCTGGGGAATGTTCCAGAGTTGGGCACCGCCAGCAGTGGGTTCTGAGGCAGCTGACTGGCAGCGTGTTTCCTATCCTGGGGTTGCTCTGCATGGCTGGTGCCACAAACCCCTCTCCACCCTCTGCTCCTGCTGTTGGGTTCCATCTTTAGCTGGTTGGTAGATCGTGAACCCTGCTGCGTGTAGAAACCTGCAGCAAGCGTGGCTGCTCTCTTGGACAGGTTCTGTGGTAACCCCCCATTTCCCAGCCTCTGGGAAGGAGTCCCTCATGGAGGTGAGGTAGGTCCTTCCTTTCCTGCCCTTCGTGAAGGGTTCTATGTCACGTTTCTGCTTTTTATGATTTATTTTTTATGTTGTTGTTAAAAATAAATACAGTAGAACATACACCAATCATTTCTGCATAAAAGATGAGGCTTTCTGTTCCCGTAAACATTGACAGCCTCGGAAACCCTCTACAGGGTCGCTGTGAATCAGAACCGACAAGTCAGTGCTGCGTGGCTTGATTTGTTCCCCTGAAGTTTTTTCAATTTTTTTTTTTTTGTTGTTCTGTTGTGTGTGTGTTTTTAATGTTTTATTGTGAATTATGTGATCGTTTACATGGGAGAACGTTAGCTTTGCATTCATCCTATCGTATATCGTTACATTGCCATGGTTTCGGTCCCCTCCATGCATCATAAACCATCTAAGCCTGCCGCCCCCCCGCCCCAATCCATCAGCACACAGCCCCTCTCCCTCTCTGGGTCTAGAGTCCCTAGCTGGTCCATCTCTCCCACTGCTTCTCTGGGTAGGGTTGCATACTCCATCCACTCTTCTCCCTTGATGGTCCCAGAGACCTCCACTCCTGAACTGCAAAGTCAATCACTCCCCGCCTTTTGCTATAAAACATCTACCTTTACATTTCCAACCCTCACAGGCAGTGCTGATGACAATTATTCACTATTGGTGTATCACTTTTCTATCAGGACAAATCTGTTGGCCAAGACTAATTAACAATTTTTCCATGAACCTTTGAAAACTCCCTAGTATGTAGTATAAATTACAGTATGCATGTCTGTTTGCTGTAGATAGAGAGATAGTGCCTGGCTTATGAAACAAGACCACCCCACTGTATCCCATCTGACAGCCTGGCCCTTTTTGCCTTGATAGTTAGTAGAATGGGGTGCCGACTGAGAAGCGTAAGAAACAGCCTTCCACCCCCGCTGGGGCATGGCCAGGTAGGTTCCTTCCCCCCTCCCCCTCCCTCAGCCCCACCCTCAGGCACTGGCCTGTTATTGCAGGTTCCAGCAGCTGCTCTTAGAGCCCTGGGTGGTTATGGCAAACCCAGCCGGTCTTCCCGCAGGCACTTGGGATCTGAGTGGAGGTGTTGCACCAAGTCAACAGAAGGAAAGCGAGTTTGGGTTTGCAGGTTTTATGGGACTAAGTCTGAATCAAAGAGAGCCACAACCTGATTTTCAGCAGGAGACATGGAGCCTCTGAGACAATTTGTCAACAGATGAGAGCACCTTTAATGTGTTTCATAGTAGACTGAGTGCTGTGAGGAAGGCGCTGGGTAAATGGAAGGAGGGTTTAGGGAAACAGTGTACTTTTGGAAATATTAAGATCTCCTTGTTGCACAAGTGGTTGAACTTTAACATGGCTTATGGCTAACTGCAGTGAAATGCTTTTAAAAAATGTGTATGTAATCTCGTGAGCTAATTTCTTCTAAAATTGTGTATGTAATCTCGTAAGCTAATTTCTTCTAAAGATGTGTATGTAATCTCGTGAGCTCATTTCTTCTAAAGATGTGTATGTAATCTCATAAACTAATTTCTTCTCATCTTCTCATGCATCTTTGATGGTCCTGGGATTGCTTAGGGCTTGGATACACTGATGACTCCCAAATTTAGGATTCTAGCCTTGATGGTTCTCCGAAGAGCTCCAGAAGTGCATACCCTAGCAGCCTCCTTGACATCTCCACATGGGTATTCTGCAGAATTCTAGGATACCCCTCAAGACTCCTCCGCCTACCACCTCCCTCCTCCCATCTTGATAACACACGTTTTTCTCGGTTATGCAACCAAACATTAATCTGCATGCTTTGGTGAGAGGATTTTGCAGTTAACGAAAGGGAGATTATCTTTGGTAGGCCTGACCTAATCAGGTGAGCCCTGAAAAAGAACTGGGATTTTCCTGGCATAAAAGTCAAAGTATGGGGGGGGGGGGGAAGTCAACGTATGGGGGCCTCAATATAAGGAACATTGTCGTTGTTGGTTTTCAAGGTAGAGAGGCAAGAGTGTGGATGGCTTCTACGAGTGGATACAAATTAGCAAAAGGGCAAAGACTTCAATCCTGTGTTTGGAAGGAAGTGAAGTGTGCCAACGAGCTGAATCAACTTGGAAGAAACCCCAAGCTTCGTATGAGACCACAGGCCTGACCAATACCAGATTTCAGCCTGTGATACCCTGAGCAAGAACCTAGTCACTCCTCCAGACACACATAGGAATCCATGTGTGTTGTATGAAGCCCCTAAGTCTGTGGGAATTTATCAACAATAGGGCACTAATGGTTACAGCTGTCCATTGACAGGGAGCTGCTAGACATTGAAGGCAGAATCAGAAGAGGATGTGGAACCAGGGATGTTGACTGATAGCAGAAAACACCAGAAAGATGTTTTCTTGTATTTTGTTGACTGTGCAGAAGCGTTAAGACTATATGGATCGTAGCAAACGATGATCACAACAAAACCACATTGCAAAGCATAGGTATTCCAGAACATTTCAGTTTGTTCTGTACCTAGAACAAGAGGTAGTCATTCAAACAGAACAAGGGAACACTGTGTGGTTTAAATTAGGAAACGTGTTTATCAGGGTTGTGTCCTTTGACCATACTCATTCAGTCTGTATGCTGGTGGCTCGTATTCATGGTCTCTGGAAGTCTGCACCTTCCCTGGTGACAGATAAAAGTGGATAGAACTGATTGACCAGGGTAATATCAGCTTCTTACTATGTGCAAATAACAGGGAGTACTTTTCTGGCTGGGGAAACACCTAGTTTCTGCCTGCACCACCTGCTTGCTGGGTAATGTTCCAGAGCTGGGCACCGCCAGCAGTGGGTTCTGAGGCAGCTGACTGGCAGCATGTTTCCTATCCTGGGGTTGCTCTGCATGGCTGGTGCCACAAACCCCTCTC